TCAAAATGTTATAATTCTGAGATAATTAGCCCAAAGTTACACAAAAAAAAAAAACTTGCTCTGCATCCTAAGTTTCTGATGGGGGAATAAGGCCAGAGCTCTGTTGGTCAGTAGCCAGAGCTGGGGCAGAAGCAGGCTCAGAAGCTGGAAGCTCTGCAGAAGTGATAGGCAAATCAACAGAGTTTGGGGAAGATCCAACAAGGGGAGCTTCTGAATGTGGGGCCTCTACAAAAGGTGGGAGAACTGAAGCCTCAATGGCAAGGCCAGCAAAGGAGGGAAGCTCGGCAGCAAGGACGTCTGAAGAGGCCGGGGGCTCACCTTCACCTTTTGCTTTAGCTACCTCTGTGTCTTCATTGCTGGGAACATCAAAGTCGAAATTCAGGTCAGGGTAGGCCTCCTCAGCTTTTCCTTGGAAAGCAAGTCACTCAGAGACCCATTTGGTTGCAACATCATCCCGCAGCTTGACAATGTCTTTATCCTTTGCATATATAGTAGCATTCACCTCTTCAAACGCGTTGCAAAGGGCACCATTAGTATCAGATAGGGCAACAAAATCTCTGGTTAAACTTATAAAAGAGCTCTGAGCAACAGAATCCTCCTGGCTAGCCTTGGACCAGGCTTCCCTAGCCTTTCTCTCCCCCTCCTTAGCTTTGGCCTTCGCAATTTCTAAGCTCTCAATGGTGGAAGCCTGCTTCCCCACTTTGTTTTGAAGCTCCTATAGCTGAGCTCGTAGATCATCATTTTCAAAAGCCAACTCGACAACCTTAACTTCATAAGTCCTTATCATTTTGGCAAAATTCTCCGTAGATAGGACCCTGTTCATCAAGCTCTTGGCATGGATAGCAGACTTGGGGTAAGAGGAAAACAGACAAAAGTTAGGAAAGTTCAAAAAGAAAAAGGATGTTATAAATGTGAGCTAGAACTTACCGTAGTTAATCTGTGAACAATAGAGCTTATTGAATCCTCAAGAGACAGTGAAAATGTCCTTTTTATATCAGCATTGGGAAGAATAGAGGAGAGGGCCCCTGCAGCAAGGTCGGGGTTATCAAGAAAGGAGCCCTCGCTTTTGCTTATCTTGAGGAGCTCCTCCTTCACAGCCTTGGAACCCTCAGGAAGGGAACGATTGATGGGTGCAGCAGGCGGATTAAGAGAGGCCAAGATCTGGGAGGTCGTCTCCACAGCTCTCTCGACCTCAGAAGCAAAGGGGGTTGCCTGTCCTGACGCAGCAGCACTTGGAGTAGCAGGAAAAACGCCTTGGGAAGAGAAGTCTGGGATAGTTGGAGCAGAGGGAGTGAGTGACATGCTTGTCCTTGGCACCTTGGCAAGAGTGAAGCTATCGGAAAAGTTGGGTCCTGACTTGCGTTTGGCGCTGCTCTTGCTGCTGCCCTTGATATTCTTCATTTGGGAAAGTTTAGCCCTGAGTTCAGCAGCAGTGGGCTCCATTGATGATAAACCTGCGGGACCTAAAAATAGCTAAGCCTCACCCTTAGACTGAGAAAAGAGGAGAGAGGGTACAAAGAAAAAGTGTTACCTGATATATTTTCGGCGGAAAGCGGGGTGGGGCCAACAATGGAAAGTGGAAGGGGAGGTTCAACCCTCACCTTAGGAAGGCAGAACCTGTGTTCTACGAGAGCCCAAGGTTGGATGAGCTCAGAATATTCTCTGGTTTGCACTTTTTCAATTTCTGCAATACTCGCTCATCTTCAGCGCTGAGCTCAAGTCGAATACCTAGAAAACCAAGGAAAACAAGAAGTAAGTTAACAAAGTAGCCAAACTTGGAGTAAATACGGTCTGGGCAGAAACATACCCAAATTATCGGGGGCAGACCACTCTGTAGGGTGGGGAGGGTATCAGTTTTATCCTCTGAGTTGAACTCCCACTATGTACTGCCTATAAAGAAAAATCATTTCTTTCAGCCCTTATGGGAGCTTGGGAGGTCAGAGATGACCTGTTTGGCCTTAGTCCTCTTGGAAATATATAGAAAGCCGTCGGAAGAAGTCTGCTTGACATTGAACAGCTCCATAAGTAAAGAAACAGTAGGGACCCCAAGCTTATGGTCCTTAAAGAAGACTAGTAAACCCACAAGAATACCCCAGAAGTTGGGGGAGAGTTGGGCAGGGCAGACATTGAAGTGCTGAAGGACAGCTTTGATAAAAAGATGAAGGGAAAAACGAAGTCCGTTATCAAAAGCTGCTAGGAAGAAACAGACCTTCTTATGGACATGGTGAACATATGTGGTGTACTCATCAGGACTCCAGAGCTGAACCCCTGGGGGGAAACGAAAGCGAGCACTAAAAACCTTCAAGTCAATAGGGGCAAGTCCGCTGGAACCTACAAGTTCAGCGTGCCTAATGGTAGCCCCTACGCCTGAACCAATGACTCTCACACCACTCACCTTGTCCTTACCCTTGTCAACACTAGGGGGTACACGAGAGGAAGATGAGGGGAGTTCCTTGGAGTCCACCTCGGCATCGACAGCCTCAACACTGGAGAAGTTGTCAATCTCATCACCTACATCCCCTAAATCAGAATCTCTCTCAGCAGACCTGTCACCTAGGAGGGAAACAGAGGAGGGAGTTGCTCTAAAGGAGACAGACATGACTGACAAAGAGAAAGGCAAGTTGAAAGAATTATAAAAAGGAGGAATACTAACTAAACACCCCCTGATAATCCTAGGGTCAGCACTGTACCTCCCAATAGTAAGAATTCGCAAAGTGGAGTTCCAATCCACAAAGCGGGGAAGAGGAGATAGGCAACGATTGCGATTCCAAAAGAAAAAGAATCGAATAACCCAGAAAAACAATGGTCACCTCGAAGTCGAGGGATACAGAGTGAGGAAAGGCAAGAGAAAGAGAAAAGGGCATAAGGAAGCGTACCTAGACAGGGAAGAAGAGCAACAAATTGCAGCCAAAGAACAAAATTGGAGGAGAGGAACAAAGCAAGACTTCGAGTCGAACCCAGAAAGTACAGTCTAGAGCAGAGAATAAGGGAATCGCGTGGAGGAAAGCCCAGAAATCACTGAGAGAAAGAGCCGGAGACGAATATNGTCGAGGGATACAGAGTGAGGAAAGGCAAGAGAAAGAGAAAAGGGCATAAGGAAGCATACCTAGACAGGGAAGAAGAGCAACAAACTGCAGCTAAAGAACAAAATTGGAGGAGAGGAACAAAGCAAGACTTCGAGTCGAACCCAGGAAGTACAGTCTAGAGCAGAGAATAAGGGAATCGCGTGGAGGAAAGCCTAGAAATCACTGAGAAAAAGAGCCGGAGATGAATATGAACAGCGTAGAAGATGAACGGTGGTTTTGTACGTTTTCTTTCAGCCGTTTTGAGCATTTAAGGCTTGAAAGACGTGGGGTGAGGCGTGCGCGGGAACCAAGGGAGCCATGATTGCTTATACCATCAAAAAGCCCCTCCCACGTGCATCTCACATGCAGGCTAAGGTCAGCTAGGCGCAGGTCTGGTCCAAGGTAAAATCAGCTCAGCCCATGTCCAAGCTCGCTTGGGCCAAGGGCTGGGGGGGCAACTGATGATACCTCAAAATAAATCTCAAACGCCAGTTCAGAAGGTCAGCTCAGCCCNCCATCAAAAAGCCCCTCCCACGTGCATCTCACATGCAGGCTAAGGTCAGCTAGGCGCAGGTCTGGTCCAAGGTAAAATCAGCTCAGCCCATGTCCAAGCTCGCTTGGGCCAAGGGCTGGGGGGGGCAACTGATGATACCTCAAAATAAATCTCAAACGCCAGTTCAGAAGGTCAGCTCAGCTCAAGAGGTCAGACTAGACGAACAGAACTTGGAAGAGTAGAGCTGGAGGTCCCTTCGAGATAAGCAAGGGCAATAACAACTAAGACAACAGTTGAAAGTTCACGAGAGGTTCCTAAAAGCGTTTGGAAGCAATAATCGAGGCACCTAATCGCAACCAACCAAGATCTTCTCCTATAATCAAGGAAAACCCCACGAAATAATGGCAAGAATCTCGGCTAAGATCCCACTGAATAGGGAACAGCCCTATAAATACTATGTAACGCCCCCAAAGGACGAGGGGAACCCTAGAGGCAAAAATTAGGCATTGTACTCTTGCAATCATCATTATTAAAAGACAAGGAGGAAGAGTCTTCCTTAAAGAGTGGATTAACCGAGCTCCCAAGCTAGTGAACCACTATATTCCTACTGTGTTAATTCCCTAATTCCCCNAGCAAGAGTCTTCCTTAAAGAGTGGATTAACCGAGCTCCCAAGCTAGTGAACCACTATATTCCTACTGTGTTAATTCCCTAATTCCCCAACAATTCTCAGTTTCATTCACTCGAGTCTAGTAGCTCAGCTCCCAACAATTCCAATATTGTTTTTTTTCATTTACTCGTCATCACAAATTCTCATCATGCTGAAATACACCATCAGATATAATTATATAATAATATACTATATCATTCGTGTCTCTGTGACAATACTTCCAACATATTATGAAGCTCCTGTTGGTTAAGTATGTCTACACATTGCTTGTAAAAGCAAACTGCCCTCCTCCCTTTTTCCAAGTGATGGGGGAATGTATAATTTGTGGTACATTTGTTATCTGAGATGGCTACTATTGTTCATGCAAATTCATAAGTATTCACTATCTCTGTCTTTATCTCTATTACAATATGGCTTGACTGAGAAAATTTCCAATATACTTGACCTCGTTGGTTTGTGCCAATATGTGAACGCTTTCTTGGAAATTAGCATGAAATGAAATATCATCCAAACGTGCAATGTCAAATTCCTTCGATTGATCTGAGGCTCGAATTTTCTGGAAGACAAACTTGTCTAAACTTAAGATACCGGTTTTATGTTTTACATTTTCTGTGCAATTTATTTTCGTAAGGGTTTTACAGCACCTAGGTGGCAACATGTGTGGAACTGGAACACGCTAGCTACTCAATATCCAAATTTCTAGGTAGGCTCTATCTCAGTGATGCCTCTGTAGATTGTGTGGTATTTAGTTTTTTGTGTTGCTGTAAGGTATTGATGATGCAAAAAACCTGACTATCAGCTTGGTTGAGCAAACAAAGTAATTGCTCCACATAACAGGTTTGGCCTTTTATCTTTTATGGTTCCTAATACTGCTAAAATGACATAGGATGGCCTGGTTTTGGGATAATGGTCTGTAGTTGACATGAATGCGCCAGAATTTCCTCCACCTGGCTTAGATAGCAATGCTTTTCATGTGGAATTTCATGGTCCACAAACTGATTATTCACCCAAATTATTCATTGCAGGTTTGAGTTTGAAAATTAGCCTGTCCATAAGAAGGGTAATATTGTCCACCAGATCGTGCTATAGGCTGGAAATCTTGTGTATTGGATACAACTCTTGTTCTTTTGTTTTAGGTAAGCCGAAAAGCTTAAATCAAAAGTTCAGGATCAGTAAATATAGTGAAATTCTCAGTGCTTTATATCCTATATGATTTGGTATACATGTGACAGTATTTGAAAAATACAATCCAACCCTTCAGCCTTAATTCCTGAAATGGGACAATGATTAATTATTTCTTTTCCGATCTGTCAGCTATGTAATTACCTAAATTTTGTACTGATCTGTTGCCTGGTAATCTCCAGTTCTTGCATTCACCTAACATGTATTTTTTGATGTTCCTGAAGAGCCCAAGTTATGAATGCTCATCACTGATGATCTGTCTCATCATATATCTCCTCCTACATGAAAGATAACAATGTAGAGGCATGAATTTCTTGAGGAACTAAATACCTAAGTAGAAGAGGAGAGAGAAACAAATGATTTTCCATACTTTGAGCAGCTCCTCAATGACATCTTCCATTGTTATTACACCAATGACTTCCTCTTCTTCAGTGAGTGTTGGAAGCGGGTTGTCATTTAAATGCAGGACCTCGGGATAAAGTTCTTCTGACCACCTCCTACTCCTTGAGTTTTCCCTACGTGAAACGTTTGCGCTTCTGGGCAAACCCTTCAACTTCCTGAGGGACCTCTTGCTCCGCAAGCTTTTCTTTAGGGCCTGGCTTTCTCCTTGGATGTCCACTCTCACTTCTCTCACTAACCCATATTTTTATTTTCAGGGCAGAAGAGAAAAGAGTAAAAGAATGTACATTGAAAGACTATGCAACACCAAAATACAAAGTCTATGCTCACCATCGGTTGAGAGATTGCAGGCTGGCTGCTCCACCTTGGCTTTTGGTTGTCTTATGACAGCAACCATGTGACTCAGCCCTTTTTGAAACTCATTTAGCATGTCGTATAGAGGCATTGTCTCTGGAACTCTAGTACACCAAATTAACATAAGTTTTTACAACTATGTTGTTTTTTTCAACCAACAAAAAAAAAAAGAAAGAGCTTCGGCTACTTAAAATACCTTGGAATCCGACGAATAGTGACGTTTTTTATAGGCACCCCATCTGCTGGTTTCAGGGTCACTAAATTTTTCACCTGCAATTTGCAAGTAACATGTCAATGGCAGATCACAATGTAGCAATGTTTGTAGTGAAATAATTTGTTGAACTGTTCTCAAGGGAATTGACAAGAAATTACCAGAATAAGTCCAAATATATTTCTTGGTTGCTCATAATAGACTGGCACTCTGCTATGTCCCTTCTCCAGGATCAAATTTATCAAAGCCCTGATACATAGTTAGAACGATTAATGTGTTGTGCAACTCATGGTATAACGAAACAAATTGAAAAGAAACCTGTTTCTGTTTATGTTAGCAGAGATACAACATACTTGTCAAGTTTAGTGTTGATGTCAATTGCAAAAGTTTCAGAAATAGGAGTCATTGCATCCTTGGCAGTTTTCTCAGTGAGTTCAAGTGCTCCTGTGATGATAGTCGTCTCGTCCTGTGACAATTCTCCACCTTTCCCAGCCTGCTTACCCACCAAGAGATCGAAAAACCCGAATTGGAAAACCTATCCTTGGACTATTCGACAACGAAGAAGAACAGAACAATACATTACCNCAATTCTCCACCTTTCCCAGCCTGCTTACCCACCAAGAGATCGAAAAACCTGAATTGGAAAACCTATCCTTGGACTATTCGACAACGAAGAAGAACAGAACAATACATTACCTCATTACCATGCAAATCAACCAATGTAATCAACTCTGCTCGACGGAAAAGGGCTACATGTCCTTTCCCCAACACAAGATCTAATAGCTATAAGAATAAACAAAGTTTAGTGGCTGACAGGAACAAACACTTGATGAAGAACCTCAGATATGAAACGTCAAAATCATAGCTTTAAGTGATAAATATCTATTTTGTAAACTAGGTAGCAAGACCATTGATATCCTAGAAGACAACCTTGCTTATTGGATATGCCACAGGAAAACAGATCCAAACAAGAACANTCAAACACTTGATGATGAAGAACCTCAGATATGAAACGTCAAAATCATAGCTTTAAGTGATAAATATCTNACAAACACTTGATGAAGAACCTCAGATATGAAACGTCAAAATCATAGCTTTAAGTGATAAATATCTATTTTGTAAACTAGGTAGCAAGACCATTGATATCCTAGAAGACAACCTTGCTTATTGGATATGCCACAGGAAAACAGATCCAAACAAGAACACGAACCAGTGGAGCCATTGCTGCACCAACCACCAAACCGTATCGGGAGCATACAGATTGTGGCATAATCTATGATCAAAACACAGATATCAGTACCTTAAAATGGATGTACGAAAATTCCCTACCCTACCTAGGAAAGCTCTAGTCCAAGGATGTTTTAAACAAGCTGGCAAAACCACTATACACCCATTTGTCCAACATAAACTTATAAATGTAGAAGTTCGGGAGACTGACCTCTCCAACAAAAAGTATTAATGTCACCGAAATAAGAATAGCACCCCAATCCGGAACCAGATTATCAAGAAAAACAGGAAGTGCCTGGAAACAACAAAATGCCTATGTTGTAATATCTTAGGTTGTTTGTGAAACAAATAAGTTTAAAATCATCCCCTACAGCTGCTTACCTCCATAGCCGCGGCATTGCTGATTAAGAGCGTGCAAAGCAATAGATGTTGATTCTTCACAACTGCCAAAATCTTGGCTGCAATCAGGAGCAAGAACTGTAAATATCGTCTTGTGCAGCGCTCAGTTTCTCTCTGTAGTTGCTAATTATGCAATAATGTAAATATACTATTGTCATTAAGTGGTTTTAGTTTGAAAGTATTTTACGCGATGTATCACAAATTAGTCAAACATGATTTGCACAATTTGCAACAACTTTACGAGAATTAGGCGATGAAGAAGGGAGAGGGATACACATACAGGCATGGAGACGGTCACTTGGCTTTCCTGACTTGGCAAGAACTTCAAGATCGACGAGGCTCATGGACATGAGACCAAGTGTGAGTCCAGACATCATCCCAGCAAATAAAACTAACATAGCAATTATTATGACATACAAGAAGAACTGTGTTTCACAGCATTTGTAGTACTTTACATGATGGAGAGTATCTGTATTGTTCCCTGTTGCCATTCAATCCAATTACTTTCTTGTTCTTTTTTTTTTTTTTTTTTTTTTTTTTTTTTTAAGGNTGGGTAGAAGAAAAGGCCAACATAGCCTGAGAATCAGAGGATGAAGAGGGAGGACAGGCAAGAAACTCCATGAATTAAAATTGTTGGAGCTTGTTTCCAACGCTGGGAATATAATTATATTCGTCTCTTCAACTTCACTCTTCTTACTAACCCCAAAAAACAAAAACTTCACTGCTTTTTTTAGCCATTTGCTTGTTTTATAAGCGACGAGAGTGAGCCTTTCATGGAGTGCTGAAAGATGGGGCCACAAACTTGACGTAGACTACGTTATGAGAAAAGACAAGAAATTCTAGTCGTTTTTTTGAGTTCGAGAGAAATCCGCACAAATTTGGATACACTTTTGTCACTCTTTCCTCCATCAAAAAAAGAAAAAAGAAACCCAACCAAAACCCCCTTCCTTCCTTCCCTCTTTGATCTCTTCTGACAAAAAGCTCAAAGATTTACATCCACCAAACAGTTGGGTCATGGGTGAAAATTTTACACCACCAAAAAGTGCAAATGGAATAGAAAATTTATTACTGACTTTGTTAATTATATCAAGAGAATAATGTTTGTATGACTCTGGGTTATCCAAAAGTTTTAATTTTGAAATTTTGTGTTTCTTTTAAAAGCAAGAGAACAAGGAGTTAATTAGCTTTTCAAATGTTGAGAACCATCTCTCACATGGGAAGCTCCACTCATTCTCGTAGCTTACCTTAACGTACATGTCTCAAGTCCAATCCCCTTCGTCCTCAATCTTCAAACTTCCCATTAATCCGTTACACTCAATCCATCAAAACCCATCCTTCACTTTCTTCTTTATTTTTTTATTTTTTTCATATCCAAAACCCCCCAACTGAGCTCATTTAGACCCGTGGCCGGTAATTAACTTGGACTCACGTGCAAAACCTCCTCTTGGATTAAATCTAAGAGAGGTGGTCCTAAGAACATTTTCATCTTATAGAGTGTTGAACCGTTAACCAATGTCAACTTAAGACATCTATCAAACAATCGATTATCAATTGTACTAACCCCTTGATTCTATTTGTGAATAATAGGGTGCTAATTTAATTGTGTTAAATTTGATTATGTTTTAAATTCCCTTTGGTGGTGGTTCACGCAACTCGATTATCGAGCATAAATTTTTGCTCAATCAATCAAATTATGTGATAAATCAAATCGTACTACAACCAACATCAAAACTAGAGATGTCAAGCGATTGACATATTTTTTATTCATTTTTTTTATATATTTCTTAAATAGTAGATCATCTCGTGTATTAATGGAAAACTCATAATGGTGGTTGGAGGGGTATGGAGACCTTGCAAGATCTATTTATCATACCGACATCCTCTAGCACCGACTAAATCAAACAGATGAAATTGAGTACGTGGACCAGCAAAACTCAACCTGTGGGAAGGCCTAATGTTGGGCCTTACAAGTTGGCCATCAAAACAAGGCCCAATCCAGCCCAGCCCTGATTTTGGATTTCTGAGAACAATTCTTTGTTCTTGTAACTTTACCTGATTGAGTATTATGATACGCTACCCAAAAATAATTTTTAATTGTTGGTGAAATTGCAATAAATTGATAAACAAATTACATAGAAGTGAAAATAGACATGAAACAATTCGAGTTGAAAACCGATAGAGTAATACCACATAAACTTAAAAGGTAGACTTAATAATCTCAATCATTAATTTCATTGTAAGTCTCAGTATTTATTGGAACTCACTACCTATTCAATGGTTGAGATTATCAAGTCTAATTTTTAAGTTTATTTTTTAAATCCATATAGAATTATAAATGAAATCCGCTTTGTTTAAAAAGATACAAGCCATCTACAGATNAATTATTAAGTCTAATTTTTAAGTTTATTTTTTAAATTCATATAGAATTATAAATGAAACCCGCTTTCTTTAAAAAGATACAAGCCATCTACAGATGGCAAAGTCTAAAATTAGTGATGCAAACATTTAAATTTGACTTATTCCTTCTAGGATACAACAATTTGATAGTTTCGCCACTTGACTCTAGCCAACCCTACGCATGTGATTGAATCCAAAGCTCCGCTAGTAAAAACACTCTTCTTTGGTTTGAATTCAATTATGTTTAGTATGTTGTGAAAACTTGTAATGTATTGGATGGTGTTCAAAAAATTCAAATAGATGTCTTATTTATAGGCTCGTAAAACCTTCTAGAGTTCATGTATTTAACTCATACATGTATACATAATGAACATATACATATACATATTTAAAATAATGATTAATTCATGAATACAAGTCATTTATGAATGTACATGTATAAGTTTATGTATATAATTTATACAAATATCTAAAAAATATGATTCATGTATAAAAATATTGAATATATACATGCATTCAATAAATAGTGTATATGTACATGTATGTAGTTGTGCATATATGTAATATCATAATACATGGATATAACCTCTATACATTGTATATAATGAAAAATGAAAAATGTTCATGTATCTACATTATATATTCATCTCATAAATATAATTCATGCGTAAGAATCATGAATATATATATCGAATGATATTCATGTACAAGCATGATACATGTACCCAATGATTTATATGTACAATTTTATAATATAAATCAAGATAGACTTCAATAGATCATAGACTCATCAAATGACCACCAACATACCTCTTAGAATCATTCATATTGAATTTCCTCCCTCTTTTCCAAATCTATCATTTCTCTTTGCACCGTGTCTTCAGGTACGGGTTCCCCATAATATATCTATATATATAAATGAATGAATCCATTAATTAATCTCATTGGTACAATAAATTATTTATATAAGAAAATACAATATAATTCAAATCTTAAAAGATAAACAAAATATTTTTTGCTTTTCGCGATTGAGAACTCTTTAAATTTTATTTTAAAATTAATTCGACAGTTAATATTAATACCTTAAATTTAATGAAAAAAATGGGCCTCTAAAAGTGTATTTGAGGTAATTTTTTAAAAATGTTTATAGAACTTATAATTTCTCATAAATATAAAAAAAATAGTGTTTAAAATTACTCTACCACACCACTACCATCGCCGTCGTCGTTACTCCACCACCACTTTTGACACAACAATCACAACCATTGCCGCCAGCCCACCACCACACTCACCACCAACATCACCCCTACCCCCACCACCATCACCATCACCATCACCACCACAACAACCGCCACCCCACCATCACTGTCACTATCGCCATTATCGCCACCACACCACCACCATTACCCCCCCCCCCCCCCCTTGTTTTCTGCACANACTCACCACCAACATCACCCCTACCCCCACCACCATCACCATCACCATCACCACCACAACAACCGCCACCCCACCATCACTGTCACTATCGCCATTATCGCCACCACACCACCACCATTACCCCCCCCCCCCACATTGTTGTCGCCACATTATTACCATCATCATTGTTTCACCATCACCACCATCATCACCATTGCCACCCACAACTGCCACCTTCACAACCGGTGTCGTCACCCATTACAACCATCACCATCTTCCACCACCACCCACTATTATCGTTTCTCTCCATTATAATCGGTACTTAAATTTTTTTTTCTCTCATCTATATTTGTAATTTGATTTTGAGTATGAATATAAATATATTTATTGTTAACTATTTTTTTTTTCGTGCCTTCAAACAAAAGAAATAACTAAAATATTTAATATTAAAATATACTAACACCTGTACCGTAATCTTATCCCGCACCCAATTAAAAACAAACTTTTCATATAATTTTTTTTTCAGAAATAAAATGTATTTACCTAGGAAACCTATTTTCAACATTATCAAACGAAATGAGTTTTTTAGAAAAATGTAATTTTGCTGTCACCTGAATAGTTAGGTATCAATCTGCATCAAGCAAGCATTCATGCACTGTAGCTTTAATCTGACCAGGAAGGAACTTTCAGACTCCCATTTGGAAGAAAGCTGTGCTGATCTCTTTCCCTTGCTTGACCGAGCAATTACTCGAAAGGGCAAGAGAATCGTACCATACGAAAAATAATTTCGAACTTTTAATTTTGAATTGAATAATTTATAATTATTGACTAAAAAATAAAAATATAATATCAAAAAATACGTTTCAATACCATAATATACTTGAAATATCCATTAAAGCAACTTTAGACGCAGTCAATCTTTTCCAGCACTGCGCTCCACACATTACCTCCACTTTCCTTTGGACTTCAGAGTTTTGAGCAAGTACACACACATGAAGGTCACGATACCCAAAAAAATTATTTGTAATCATGCATTATGGGTTAGATTATTTGTACTTTTAATTCAATAATAAAGTAAAATTTGTTCAGGTACCATGATCTCGTTGAAAAAAAAAAGGAGAATTAGGTTTTTTGTACCATAATATTAACCTATTTAATATTAGACACTTCATGAAGACCCAAAATGGTCGAGAATGCTAACGATTACACAACTTTTTACACACTTCTATTATACAATTACCGTTTATTGAGAAAGTTTTTTGATATTGGCTGAGGCATTGCAAATTTTTTTTTTTGGGGGTCATCCATACAACTTGCTCTATGCCCCAGTATCTTTTGCTAGTTCTTTTGAGGTAAATGATTTTACTGTTAAATATCATCACAAAATTTTATTTAAAAGGATTTATTCTTTTACAAAGTTTACCTCTTGAAGGTTTGAATAGCTCAATGAATCTTTTTTATGAAGTAAGAAACTCATTTGATTAAAATGTGTAATTACTCGTTAAGCAAAAATGTTGAAAGAGGTGAGGTGAATATTAAACTTTTAAGATTAATTACATTCATTATTATGGAGTGAAATTTTCTTTAATATAATTTTTTAGTTGACAAATCACTTATCATTCATTCAAGTAAGATTTATTATATAAAAATTGGTTTTTCTTTCATTAATGATGAATGATCAGTCAAGAAGAGAATTGAAAGAAGAAAATATTGGAGAAGATCTAAATCGGTAAGGGAGTGGTCCCAAACAATTAAACAGCATTATGCAATGAACTGGTTCACTAAGATACAAGAATCCAAAACAACCAAACCACCAAACACACAAAAGACAGACAAAAAAAGGTACATGTATCTTCAACTTCCACATAAGTAAAAGAACAAAGCTTTTTACAAACCCTATGGAATGCCTCTCAAACTTCCTCTATATGAACCATGAAGAATTACACATATAAGTACCCAGGTAAGAGTGTTGGAAAAGTTCATCATACTCCTAAGTTCAGAAAAGTTCATCTTGGTTGGAGTTCATAGGATAATTCATGGAATAGAGTACTCTTCTCATGGGATTTGCTCATGTATGCATTTCTAGATGAAAAATAGCATCTTAACAAAGGCACTGTTGATGGCTACAATCTGGAATCATCCTTCAATGGGGATTCCTCCATATATAATTTATGCCCTAGCCTTGTCTCACAAAACTGGCCAAGCTTTCAGAAGTTTTTACAGAAGAGAAAGACACATGAACAGAAAAAATGACCTTAAATTTAGATGATGATTTTCTATCATACTTCCCATTACCAAAACAATTAGGAAGATAAAACGTGAAACAAAGATTCTTTCTTTTTTTAACAGTAAAAATAGATGAATAATACTATTTGGGACCTAATTTAAGAACTTAATGTATTTGTTAATTGGATTAATATTGGTTATCACCGTATCGGTATAGGATGAAGTTCACTAACAATTCCACAGCCATAATGCATTAGGTTCCCAAATTAGGTACATATATTATTAAAAATAGAGATAAAATTTTTTTTCAGAATGTAAAATTTTCATTGGTGAGAATATATCTAGGAGTTTATGAGAATGGGGAGTCCCCATATATAGTTGAGTAACAAAAACATAGCCTAACTAAAGTGGCCTGCAAATCTTGCTTTATTTAGGTTAGCACCCCAAAAGATTTTCCAAAATAATTCAGGTTGTGAACTAAACTAATAACAATGTCCAAATTAATTAAGCTGCTTATTAACATATCAAGTTAGACAACTAGTTGGAAGATGCAAATTCTGCACCAGTTGATGATTCTGAGGAGACTTCTTGAACTTCAAGGAATACATCCTTTCCACAATGGTATACAAGGTAAAATTCAAAAGGGCTACATTGGTATATGATTCAAATAGAACTATGAACATTTGGTCGTTGGCTACCATGTACTTTGTGTTAGGAGCCGTACCCACATAACTAATGCATTGTGCTTTCACAACACTTTATTATTGTTAATACAGACATGAAGATAACAATAAAGGGATGCATCCAGTTTGGATGCCCTACTAGCTAGAGCCGAGCAAGTTGTGGCCAAAACGTCAAAGCACCTTTCCAACTTTACAATACAGCCTTTTCATGAGAGGTTAGAAGGAGTTTTGTGACAATATATATCAGCCCATGTGTTAATGATGAAAAAATAATCTATCCCTCTTACCTTATGGTTAAACAATCAGCACAGAATAAAATACTGTCATTCGAACATAGTAATTTGAGTTAATATCGTGATTTAAAGACGGGTCTCTTTCAAACATATTAGTGATACCTGTGTGGCCGGAAAGTATATGCAGATCATAACCAATACACTCACAAGGAATGTGACCAGAAAGTATAGGATTCGACCCTCTCGGCCGAATTACTAGCTAGTATGATACCTCAAATTCAGGCTCCTAAAATTCCGCATTCAGCACCAGCCACAAGGTAAAAGGTAGGAAATTTAGTATTAATTAAAGGAATGTGCCAATCAAGCAGATATGAAGAATCTCAATAATCAGTATGAAAGTGATAGTGCAACATAAACAGTATCTGAGACTCTGAGTTCAATGGGTACAAGTACAATGGAATACCGACACAAAACCCCTACTGCTAACAGAAACTTACACCAACACATAAATATACTGTACTGTTATTGCAGCCCAAGATACCTCGGCTCTCCATCTAGGCAATTTTGTGGCATTTCTTGTCGGCAAATCTCAGAACCAGAGACCATCGGAGTGTAAACCAGAGAGCATATGTCTTCCCAACTGGTACTTTCCACAGAACTATTTCCAATGCTACTGTTGACCATGTCTCCCCTTGAAAAACTCTCAAACCCATCAAATTGTTGTTTACAATACACCATGTCATCGAGTTCGATCGGGAAGTTGGTTTCTCGAATCATGTTCGGAACTTCCCCATTGATAATGTACTGGGTGTTTGGCAATTGAGAAAAAGAACTACTCATGTTGATGAAATTCCCATACAGTTGGTCTTGGAAGGAGAAATTATTAGAAGGGTATTGGAAATTTGTGATGGTGGTGGTGGTGTTTGATTGATGATGATCGCCGTAAAAGTTTCCCCCTAGCTTGATCAGCAAGGTCCTGATAGATTCTTGGTCTTTAAGATAAGGTTCTTGGTTCGGGTTCGAATTCAGATTTGGATTCAATACTGGCATGGCCATGGCCACAGGTAGCTCCGTCCATAAAGGATCTAGGTTCATGGCCTCAGAAGCCACAAAATTCCCTCTTTCCATCTTCATTTCTTGCTTCGCTGTGGCACAGCTCGCGCGTCGAGCTTGTTGTTCCTTTCGTTGCTTGCCTAGTAGCTTCTTCTTCAGCCTCGTGTTCCAGTAGTTTTTGATATCATTATCTGTTCGCCCGGGCAATTGAGCTGCAATAATAGACCACCTTTGTAGTCCAAAATGGAAACATGATCAGCCTTTTTGAGCCCATCAATTAAGAAAGAAAACTAGCTTTAAAATCGCAGAAAAGTAAGAATTAATAATAGTTATTAACCATAGTGATGATATACTGTTGAATTTAATTACCTGCTTCCAATAGTTATGTAGAGGTTGCAAATTATGTTTTCTTCTTCCTCTGAAAACCCTCCATGCTTGATGTTTGGTCTGAGATAATTCAACCATCTAAGCCGACAACTCTTTCCGCATCTCTTTAGACCTAAAGTATAAAATAAAAAACCATGTCACTTGAGCTTTAATTGAATTCAGATGGAGGAATAAGTTAATTCGATATAAACACATATATACACACGGAGAGAGAGAGAGTATGATCCCATGTTTGTACCTATTTTCTGGGGTAAGGCGATCCAGTTGCCGCCGGTGCCGTGGTTCTCGATGTAAGCTTTGAGTTTGGTATCTTCCTCCGGCGACCATGGGCCTTTCTTGACGTTGGCTTTGTCACAGCAAGGAGCTCTCCCCATATTTTTTTCTGGGTGTGTTGTTGTGAGGTTTATGTTCTTTTCTCTTTATGATCACACCTCCTCTCTCTTTCCCACGTATAAATATACTTTGATGAGAGAGAGAAAGAGCCTATAATAGCTGGAGAAGGAAAGACATGGAATGGAATGATCACCTGATTTCAAAAAGTGGTGTGGAAAAAAGATGACCTTTTTTGTTAAAATAATGGGAAGATTTGAAATGCCAGAACAGGAGACTAATTGTTTTCTCATTGTCTTTCTTATTCCAGAATCTATATAATATATCATATCATTCATGCTCCTTTTCTCTCTCTCTCTCTCTCTCTCTCTCTCTCGCACACAGACACAGACACACACAGATCCTGATCGTTCATTTGATATCTGTGTTTGTTGGGCTATCTTCAAGAAAATGAGCATGTAATCAGAGAGATCATATGAAACTAATCAAACTTGACTGCAAAAATTCAGCGTCATAATTAGCTTTACACAGTAATGTTTCTGTTTTTTTTTTGATCCAAACACAGTAATGTTTCTTGAAATAATGTTTTTAATAACATAAAAATGAGGATAACACTAATTAGCAGCAGGCCAGTCAATGACTTAGATATTGATTCGAATTCGAATATAATAAGTCGGATATTGATTTATATTTTTTACCGCTAATTTGAATCCAAATTCAAATCTAATTAGGAGTGTTAATCGAGCCAAACTTTACAAGCTTGAACCCGAGCCTGTTGAGCTCCTTTTTTTAAATGAGTTTAAAAAATTGTTCAAACTCGGTTTGTTTAGAAAATGAGCCGAGCCCGATCCCGGGCCGAACCCGAGTAGCTCAAGTATTGTATATATAAACGAGTCAAGCCTTCTAAGTTTATTTTTTTAAATGAGACTAAAAGTTTGTTCAAACTCAACTCGTTTAGAACACGAGACGAGTTCAAGCTGAGTCTTATCCGAGCCAAGTCGAGCCTGAGTAGCTCGTCTCAGTTAACACCCCTAAATCTAATACATTATATTTAACGAATTTGGATTTGGATGTACTTATATCCGATTCGATTATAATCGGATTGAAATTATTTTTATATTTTTATATTAATATTAAAAAAATAAAATGATTATTTAAAAAATTTTAGTTGAAATTTTTGTATAATTTGTTAAAAATTAATTAGCTAAATTATTCGTTTCATATTAGATTTCAAATTATTAATGAATTCGAATATGAACCACGAAAATAAAATTTGTCGGATTATTGGATTGGATTTGAATCGAATCGAATTTTTAAAATCGAATTCAAATTTGGATAAGCCAGAATCTGATCCATTACTAAGCCTAATTAGTAGAAATAAAAATGTCTTTTATAGCAGAAGAAATTGGTTCTAGTTACACTTGCTTCATCAACACAAAACTATTGAGAATTTTTGGTCATTGGTTTTAGCATTACGCCTAAAAATCAAAGGCTGCCAAATCCTTGCACAGTTGGATGTAAACATATTACCAAGATCAAGCATGGAATGATCAAACTTTTTATGTTCATATGTTGTAAAGAAAAAGCTAGACTGAAAAGAATTGAGGGATTTAAATCGTCATCTTCTAACAACCATTTTCCTTTTTCAGTTTTAGTAGGTAGACCGAATGGCCAACCAGAAGGAAGTTACAGTGCTACTTCGAGGTGACCCCTAGATGGTTGATTGGAAGTCAACTGCAGATAAACCTGGCAAAGAGAAAAAAAAATAATGCATGAAAATCTAGTCATTTCGAAATTTAGAAAGAGTTCAATGTATAAAGATTTACATAAAACGTTGACAAAACTAGATGAGATGTGGCCTAAAAAAAGTGGATCAATAACTCAAAATCTAGTTAGGTTAAAAGGGGTTGAGTATATCCAAGGGCGGAGCTAACTTAGCCCCGGGGACATATGCTCACCTTCAAATTTTTTTTGTTAAAATTACCTATATGTAAGTACTAGTTATTGCTTGTACCTAAAGACACAGAATAAAAAATAATAATAAACAATAAATATATTTATATTCACACCTAAAATCAAATCACAAACATAAAAAAAACAAAAAAAAATTTAAACACCGATAGTAATGAAAATGAGCAGTGGTAGTGGTGGTGGGGTGGCGACGATAGCAATGGTAGTGATTGTGGTGATAGTCGTGTGAGGTTGGTGGTGGGGCGGTAGGGATAGTGATGGTAGGGGTGATGGTATGACAATGGCGGTGATGGTGGGGCGGTAAGCATAGTGATGGTAGGGGTAATGGTAGGACAGTGACAATGATGGTGGGGGTAAAGGTGATAGTGAAGGTGATGATGATAGGGGTAGTGGGGATGGTGGTGGTTGTTGTGCAGAGGTGGTGATGAAGTGACGATGGCGATAGAGTGGTGGCATGGTGGCGACAATGGTTGTGGTTGTTGTTGTGACAGAGGGGGTGACGGTGGTGGTGGTAGTGGTGGTGGTGGTGGGACGGTTCCAAAAATTATTTTTTTTGAAGTACTTATGAGAAGTTATAAGTTGTAGAAACACTTTTAAAAAGTTATTCTAAACATACTCTCAGGGGCCTCTTTTTCCTATTAAATTTGGGGTGTTAATATTAATCGTCAAATTAACTTTAAAATAAAATTTGAAGTTATCTCAATCGCGAAAAATAAAAATTATTTTATTTATCTTTTGAAATTTAAATTGTATTGTACTTTGTTATATAGACTAGTTATTTCTCATGCCTAAAAGTATGAAGTAATAAAAAAAATGGTCAACAATAAACATATTTGTATTTACACCCAAAATCAAATTACAAAGATAGAGAAAAAATAAATGAATTTAAGCACCAGTTGTGGTGGGGGCAAATGATGGTGGTGGAAGATAGTAATGGTTATAATGGATGACGTCGATCGATTGTGATGGTGGTAGATGTGGGTGGTAATAGTATTGGTGGTGGTGGTGGTGGTGGTGGTGAGGGTAATGGTGGGACAGTGACAGTGGTGGTAAAGTAGCAGGGGTAGTGGTAGTGGGATAATGTTGGGATGGCAACAGTGGTGGTGGTAGTGGGGTTGTGGTGGTGATTGTTGTGAAAGAGGTGGTGGGACTNGAGCCTTCTAAGTTTATTTTTTTAAATGAGACTAAAAATTTGTTCAAACTCAACTCGTTTAGAACACGAGATGAGTTCAAGCTGAGTCTTATCCGAGCCAAGCCGAGCCTGAGTAGCTCGTCTCAGTTAACACCCCTAAATCTAATACATTATATTTAACGAATTTGGATTTGGATGTACTTATATCCGATTCGATTATAATCGGATTGAAATTATTTTTATATTTTTATATTAATATTAAAAAAATAAAATNGTTTGGAGTGGTGGTAGTTAGGATGGTGGTGATGGGGTGGCGACAATGGTGGGGACGACAGCGGTGGTTGTTGTGGGACGATGGTGATGATTGTTGTGGAATAGATAGTTGTGGTGGGGTGACAGCGATGGTGGTGGGGCGATAGAGATTATAGTGGTGGTAGGGTGACGGTAATGGTGGTGGTTGTGGGGTGACAACATCGTTTGTGGTTGTTGTGNCACGAAAATAAAATTTGTCGGATTATTGGATTGGATTTGAATCGAATCGAATTTTTAAAATCGAATTCAAATTTGGATAAGCCAGAATCTGATCCATTACTAAGCCTAATTAGTAGAAANGGATTATAGTGGTGGTAGGGTGACGGTAATGGTGGTGGTTGTGGGGTGACAACATCGTTGGTGGTTGTTGTGGCAGAGGTGGTAGTGTAATGATGACGACGATAGTGGTGGTGGTAGTGGTGCGGGGGTAGTTGTGATGGTGGGATGAAGGTGGTGGTGGTGGTAATGGTGGTTGGGTGGTGAGGGTGGGGGTGGGAGTGGTACAGTTTCAAACACTATTTTTTTTTTAAAGTATTTATAAAAAGTTGTAAGTCTGAGAAACACTTTTAAAAAATTACTTCAAACACACCCTTAAAAGCCTATTTTCCTTATTAAATTTGGGGTGTTAATATTAGCCTTCAGATTAATTTTAAAGTAAAATTTAAAAAGATCTCAACTATAAAATTTAAAATCATTTTGTTTATCTTTTGATATTTGAATTGTATTGTATTTTGTTATATAGATATATATTTATATATATTAAATATCTTTAATTATGTCCATCCTAGGATTTTCTTAATGCATGATTACTATACCCAAATGATTATAAATTTTTTGACAAGTTGCGGATATGTTATGAACATGTGTAGGTAAGTATATATATATATATATAGGGATCAATTTATTATTTTTGAAAAATTATGATACTATTTTATTATTGTGCAGAATTTAAGATCATTGTAATTAAACATAGTGTCATTTGTAAGTAATCCACAAAATTCAAAGTCACAATTAAATATTATAAAATTATTTAGAGATAGAAATTTAATCTTTTTAATCTAGCATTGAATTTTCAATGTTAGCAGGGATGGGTGAATTTGCTCAAAAAAATACAAAATCCTATTTAAACTTNAGTTTGGGTGTAGTTTTAACGGATTCGAGTAGTTAACGGGTTAACTCGACAGACATGTGAAATAAATAAATAGGTTTTGTATTTAACTTATAAACTCGTTTCAACCCGTTATAATTATTTTTAAAAAAGTTAGGTCTCTCAGTCTCTGCCTCATCTCACATCTCTCATCTTTAGACTCATTCAAATTTAATAGTCATTTAATGTTTATTTTTTGTCTTNAGGTATGTAATAGCACAATTACATAAACACACATATATAAAAGATAATCTAGTCATGGTGGAAGACTTTCAAGAATAAAAATCTATCAGTGTTCAATTTAAATAGTTTTACATAGCCCTCTTTGGAAGAGTTTGTATTTAGTTTTTTTTTTTTTTNATTCAAATTTAATAGTCATTTAATGTTTATTTTTTGTCTTTATTTTTTTGCTCAGCTATGATTTATTGTTATAGTAAACAAGTCAAATATGTGTAATGTGTAGCAAGTTGATGATTTTTCGT